AAAATGTCCTCACTCGCAGCCTGGGAAAAGCAGCGCCTAGGCCACAGCCTCTCCGTTCTTGCACAGCAGACACTCGGCTTCCGCCTTCGGGGGCCCAGGTGGAGGAGCCGGCTCTCCCGCGGCCTGCCTCACCGGGGCTTCCTCCGAGGGTTCAAGGGGCAGGGGAGGGCTGGTCCGGCGGCCAGGATATGGCTTTGGCTGGAAGCAGCCGTCCCCGCCGGCTCGCCACCTCCCACACCGTGCGGCGGCCTGCAGGGTCGCGAGGCGCAGAGGGGAAGAGCAGCCCGGGTGGCCTCCCTGCCCTGCCCTGCCCTCCCTCCCTCCCTCCCATGCTCCGGCTGTCAGGAGCATCGCTGCCATTTGGAGCCGCGTGATTCCGCTCGGCTGCGCTCCACGTCCTGAAGGGCGAACGGCGCTATTATTAGCCAGGCCTTCCGAGACCCTGCGAAGGCCGCAGCGGCAGTGAGCTTGCGAGGCCGTCCTCCGGCCAGCGCCGGCCTCTGCAGAGGGAGGCCTTGGCTCTCCTGGCGGGCCACGCCAGTGAAGCGCCCAGACGCACGGGGCGCCTCCGCCAGGCGCAGGCCGCAGCAGGGAGCCAGCTTTTTCCAGGCGGAGAGGCTGCTGCCGCCCCAGCAAGCCAGGCCTGCCCCAGAGCAGCATCCTCGGTTCCAGCATCGGCTTCTTCCTGGGCTGCGCTGCAAACCTCCCCTGCGCGACGCGACCACCTTTCTCTGCCCGGAACGGGTCGTTTTTATGCTCTTTCAGCCCGCGTCTCCCAACCTGGTGCCCCCGGGATGGCTGTGGTACATGGGGTTCCATGTCTTGCTGCTCCGGCCCTTGATACTTCCTGCTGGCAGGAAGACAGGGTCCTTTATGCCCTGCCCGGGGGTTTTAATGTATGGTTGACTTTTTTGATGTTGTGAGCTGCCCCGAGGCTTATTGCGGTGGGGCGGCATAGAAATGTTTTAAATAAATAAATAAATAAATAAATAAATTTAAAGACACCCACGCAGGGGCGCAGACTAGAGTCAGGGCCTGAGCAACTCTGCACATGCCCACAGAGCTAGGACCGCGTGGCAGGATCCTGCAGGGAACAGCTGCGGGGGAGCGATTCTGCCTGGCAGCGGGAGGGTGCGGAGGGACAGGGGCTGTGCCGCAGGGCTGCTCTCGGCCACAGGCCATCCCCACGACACCCTCGTGCCCCTGTGGCCTGCATCGCCTCGCGTGCACGCTGGCTCCTGCCCACCACGCCCCAACCGGTTCCTGCTTTCTGGAACCTGACCCTGCAGCCGCTTCCTCTCCGCAGCCTCTGCCCACACCCTGGACCTGACGGAGAGCACCTGGGAAGGGGCAGCCGAGGCTCCACTCCCCCAACAGGTGAGGCAGCATCTCTGGAGTGGGGCGATTTCGACTGGGGAGGCAGTGCACGGGGGAAGGGTCAACGCCCCATCACGCCGCTCCTTTTAACAAAGCAACACCCAGAAATGCCCGGACATCTGAAGAGACGCTGCTTGGGCCTCCGAAGAAGACTCCAGAGTCGCTCTATTTGCTGAGCGCAAGTGAATTCTCGGGCATCGAGCGCCGGCTTTTTCTCACAAGTGTGGCCAACAGAGCGCACTTTTTACATTTGTTTGAACGTTTCAAAGGCCAGCATTTCTTCCGTGCCTTCCCCAGCAAGCGCTGCAGCAGCATCTTTTGCCAGACTTCAGAAGGGACCGTGTTAATCTGTTGCAGCAAGAACAACATTTCTGCGGCATTTTACGGGGCAATCCTGGGCAAGTTCAGACAGAGAGAAGTCCTGCAATTCCCCACACGGCCCAGCCAGCAAATCCACTTCGGAGCTGGTCTGAACTCTCCGAGGTTGCATCTCCTTGCCCAGCCCCTGCATTTCTCAGGGAAGAAGCAGGGCCAGGAAAGGAGGACCGGTAGATCTTCCAGTGTGGCCCGGCAGTCTCCAAAAAACAGCTCCCGCTGGATAGGGCCGGCAGAGGGCAGTGTTTTGGGGATCCGCAGAGGAAGTGCAGCTCGGAATGACGGTAAGTGGTGGCAGTAGGAACACCCGTGTCTGCGAGAGAAAGCGATGCAGCTGGTGCAGGTTTTGTGTGCTAAGGGGAGAATCCGAAGGGAACTGTTGTAGATACAGATTTGTGGGAGACGGCGAATTCATTTCATTCCAAACATCCTCTTCTCCATCCCCCATGTCTAAAAAGGAGTAAATGTTTCAAGGCATGCTTAATTCTTTCACTAGAAAACCCACATACTTACCTGAGCCTGCGCTTTAGCTAGCCTCCCAGGGAACCTGCTCTGTGATGCCTGGGTGACCCCTGCTGTGCTCACTTGATTTCTAGCCATCGTAACAGCAACGGGGTGCAGGCACTATCTGGGGGAAGGCATAGCAATATAGAGGGAGATCCGGACACGAGACAAAAGATGAAGATAGAATATACACAATGGGTAATAGCAATGGCCTGCCTTGCAAGGGTGATGTAAAAGTTCCTCAGATATGTGCTTGCAAACGCTATGCATTTAATTCGTTTGTTTTGAACAGGGACAAATGGCTGCAAAGGCCCATCCTAAGCGTGTGGGACGTGCCTCTGGCTGCGTCTTCTGAAACACGTGTTGGCCGTCTTCTCCTCCCCAGTCTCCAGCTGCCAACTCCTCCAGCACCACCCAGCCAATGCGGATTCTGGCCAGCCCCCAAGGAAGCAGCTGAAGGAGCAGGCCCGGCAGCCGTATTGGCAGCTCCTTCCCCCACAGAGTTCGGAGCATCCGTGCCGCTTCAGCCTGCCGAGGAGCAGAGCCGGGTCAGAAGGCGAAGGGACGTGCAGGCGTGCCCACGCGACGAGCAGCAGGCGCACGGCCGTGGGGTCCTTCACGGCACCAAACGGGCTGAGAGGCACCGCAGCGTCTCCTTCAAACGAAGGGGCTTTCCTCTTGTGGGCGGGGAGGGCAAAAGGGCACAGAATGGACAAAGACGCGTCCGAGACATTTCTACGGAACGCGGAAGTTCGCGAGGCCGGCGGTGAGCCCACTGCCCACAGGAGCGGTTTGCACAAGGCCGTCTTCCCAGCTTTGCTGTGCGGAAGCCACACCAGTGGAGGGCAAGAAATAACTGGTTTAAATAACTGGAGGGGCAGGAGGAGGGGCACCGTCCTTGAGGCACAGGCAGAGCACCTCCAACCCAAAGGCCTCCCTCACTGGGCCCCGATCCCCTCACCCCTGCCCCATTCCCTTGGCTCCCTGCGACACGCCTGAGGGCCCGGCTCGCTCGCTCGCTCGCCCGCTCGCCGGATCCGCTGGGCTGCAGTGCCATCGTGTGTCGGTCGGTGCCCACTGCAGCTTCCCGCACCTGCCCAGCCTCCACTCCTGCCAGGTACCAAATACGGCCGGGGGGCAAACAAAACCACGCACGCCCAAGCGTCCACGTTTGCGCTGAAGCCGCTCAAGAACTCCGTCTCCTTTTTGGGGTCTCCAGTGACCCGTCGGGGCTCCTGAGCTTGCAGGTCTTCCTGGGACAGCGCCTCTGTGGACAGGTGGACAGGCAGGCAAAAGCCGACTGGAATCCCTTCCCCTTTCCTCTCCCTGCCATTTAACTCATTAAAAGGCCCCTCATTTCCCTGCTCCTGGAATCACAGCGGTGCGGCGGGCGGGAGGGGGGGACCGCTCAAGGGCACAATGCTGCGCTGTTCTATTACCTATTCCCAGGGAATGGAGATGACACAGGAGAGCCGATTTTTGGAAATAGCAGGCAGAATTGCCAATGCCTGATCCCAGCCTTGCTTTTCCAAGACTGATTTACAACACAAGGGGGGCAAATTTAGTGACCAGTGCACTCAAGACAGCCAGTTTCCATGGCCCTTGCCAAGCAATTGCCATTTGCTGAGGAAAGCTTTGTTAAAAGGGTCATTTTCTTCTTATAAGCGATTTGCAAGGTGCAGGAAGTACCTGAAGACTTTTGCTTATTCGTTTGGGAGTATCTTATGCCAAAGGATTCCTGAAACAAAAGGGGTGTGAATCTGATGGGAAACCAGCTGGATTCCTTTCTAAGACTTTGGCAAGTGCACAAAAACGCATTCTCAGAAGGAGACACCTGGATTGTGACTCTCATCACTGTGTCCAACCTAATGTACAAAGAAGCAGACGAAGCACCCAAGTATAAAGAAATTCAGGCAGGAGACACATTTTGAAAGAAATCAAATTTCACTGCAGAACTGTTAATGCATGCATACACGTGTCCCATGCATTCTCGGCAAGTGAGCCAGTTCTTGGCCCTCAATTTCCCACAAAAGCAGCACAAGAAGAAAATTCCAGAAGTATGTCAAATCCACCAGCAAAGAAACTCAGAGAGAAGGCAAAGGAAGAACTACGAAGTGGAGGAAGTGGACGTTTATCTCTCTGTTGAACGAGAATAGATGGATCTGAAGGCGGACTGGGCAGAACGAGAGACAGGGCCCGGCATTGTCCCCCTCCCAACGGAGCTCGTTTGCATGAAAGCTGACGGAGGGGACACACGTGCTCAGCAAATGAACTCCAACTACATTCCCACTGGCTTTTCCATGAAGGCTGTTCAAAGTTGCACATGGTATTTCCAAGCATTTTGGGCAATGTTCTTAAAACCTGCACTCTGCACTGACAGTTGGCAAAATTCTGTCCTCGTACACCCATTTAGAAAACCAGATGAGGCATTTCTTACCCACGGTGCAGACTAGGTCCCCTGCAAAGCAGAAGGTATTGACATGGTCCTCAGCCAACAAGGTCTGCCAGCCGAGTCCTGACACACGGGCACCCAGCTCTCCCGTGCGTCGGCTCAACAGAGACGCTGGTATTTTGCAGGCACTTTTGAGGTCTGACAAGCCTCGGTCTTTCCAAGGGACAGACCTTCTGACGAAGCCTGGAAGATCTTCTGACGAAATTGGAAGGCCCAATTCCTCAATGCAGCTACCAAGGTGGAGCCCCTAACTCAACGCCCGCAAAAAAGCACGCCTGTGCACACAACGGTATACGTAATGACTGTAGTAATCCGTTTATTCCACAGATTAATTATTCTTGAACGTACAAACTCCCAAGGGAGCAGCTGGGTCTTTAAATATACACAAGTCTGTCAAATGAATTTTTACCCTTACATCCAGAAAGACCTAAGCAGTTAAAAACTTAAGAAAATAAGAGCTATTAGCTATGTTAACTGAGAAAACACATACAAACCAAAATTATGAAGGGGAGGGGGAGGGGGAGGAGAGCTGAAAATAAATCAACGTCACTTGATGTACTAATAGCTCCAATGTGTTTAAATGCTGACCAGTTAAACTTAGACCTTTAAAACACAGGATGTGGGTGCAGTTTGATCTTGTTGGTCATACATTTACCTTAGTAGGTCCTTCAGAATAAAATACATTAACAGCTTCAAGTTCTTCATATCAGTTTTTTCGTAACAGTTATGAGTCTAAAAGAATTCCACTGTGTCTTACGTCACTTTTCGAATCACTCCAAGTCCCCAAAAGCACACGCAACGTCACTTCGCTCCCTCACCCACCTTTGGCTTTTGCAGCCAATATGCATCTCTCAGGAATGCTTTTATGCTCACAACTAGGCTTTTGACTGAAGAACTGGCTTTTCACACACATTTCTTTGCTAGGAGTCAATGTTGGTATGGAATACAGTATTTTGTTGTTCCAAGTATGTACAACACGCAGCACGGCTGTATCAGGTAAACATGTGCACAGGGGAAGATGAGGCGTGGGCTCATAGAAAGCAGTCAAATGGAAATCAAAAGGACTTTCTCTTTCAGAGTTCCCCTATCTTTATTTGTAGAGGTTATCCAATAATTTCTTTAATTACATCGCATACTTCTGAGTCCATTCTCGAGCTATTCTGTTGTACCTGCATATATAAAAAAGATGATTAATGAGGGACGCAATTCACTGCGCAGCAAAAGCACTTCTCAAGGTATCAGTCGTAAGTGCCGCGAGGACTGGTATCAAGCTGTCTGCACGGACGATTAAAGGACCGGGTTCAAGGCAACAAGGATCCCGTGTGATCTCAGGCTCACCGTTCCCGACAGACCCCAGCCTGCCTGGAAACGCTGCCTGAATTCTTGTGTCAGCAGCAGAGAAAGTACAGGAGGCCTCAGAAAGCCCAGCAGTTTATTTAACGGTGCCCAAGGGACCTTCTTAAAAAGAAACCAAACACGACCGAGCGCCTTGCCACACCTCCTGCACTTCACGTTTGCACTTTCCCTCCCTGCCTCCTCCCGAACATGCATCCATGCGCAAGTGTTTATTGCATCATGCGCTGCCAAGGGTTAAGAGCTGGCCACTGCTCCATTTTCTCCGCCATCTGTGAGGATGGCAGAAGCGCCAAGGAAGGGCTTCCACAGCAATGCCCCTGCTCCTTGAGCTTGCACTTCTATCGCAGCAGAAAGCGCTCGGAGCCGTTTCCAAGCTCTCACTTCCAGCACTGACTTGTCACCTGCACGGTGCTCTGTCTCTCTCGTGGTCTGGGGCTGAAAGATCCAGAATTTCAGAGTGTCCGCTTTCATTTGTTCTAGCCTCACTTGCGCTATTCAAAGGACGCCAAATGCTGCCCACTTCAGTCTGTTACAGGAACTTACTGTTCAATGCTGCAGCAAGAATGTCTCAGGCTGAATGGCTGGTTTATGGCAGCAAGCGACTGGAAAATAATTTATTTAAAATGGAGCTGACTGCAGCTCGGCTGTTTCTCACTACAATCTACTGTTAACTCCTGCTGCCGCTACCCATGAAGCCAAACTCATGTATTTCTTGTTCACCTACCACCACCCGAATCAGGTTCTTTTCTGGTGGAGGTTTAAGCTGTCCACACCTGTGCAGCCTAAAAGCAGAAACTGAAGGGCCTGAGAGAGGCAATTGCAAAATAGGAATGTGAAAAGGTACAGATGAAACTGACCAGATTTTTCATGGACTAGCCAGTCCGGTTGAGAAGGAAGCCTTATTACTGACCAACAGATACCATATCAAAAATAAATAAAACTAAAAAGGCAAGGCTGCTGACAGCAGCACAGGGCGCTCTCTAACAAGAAATTACTCGGATGGCAAACACGGAGTGAGCAAAAGTCTAAGGCAGACATCTTCTGCTATCCCATCTTCCAGCTGCCGGCTCATTCTTGGCCTTTGAGACACGTGGCTTCCATACTCACTTTTCTCTATCTGTTTTGTAGATCCGTGCAATCTCAGGCACTAAGGGATCATCTGGATTGGGATCACACAACAGAGAACAGATGGACAAAAGTACTGGAGGGGAGAAAACACACATCATCAGGATTTGCGCACACCTCGACTCCCGCAGGCAGCAAGTCAATCCTCCTGCTCATTTAGCTTCCTCTGGATCGTATAATCGAGCACTGAGATCTGGCCTGTGCCGGTTTAAGTCACCTGCTATTAAAATGCCGTATTTATTTTAAGGCTTTTATAACCATTCGAAGAGCAACAGGTTGGAGAACAGTGAACGACGGACAAGGGTGAGGAAACGACGACATGCCCAGTCCAAGTCCGAAATTCTGGCAGCCCGGCCAGCACAGGAGGAAATGCTCCACGCACCAAGGCCTGCCCCACCTGCTGTTCCTTCGGCCAGTTTTGATGCCCAAAGCCACCAAACGAACGAGAATGTGGGAGCATGCCCAGTGGGCTGGGCCGCACAAAACTGAGTGGTGCCAAACACAGTAACATGACAGGGCTTTTGCTTCTTTTAAAGGGCAAGCGAAAATGCCTTTATCCTATTAATTACATACAAGAAACAAACGAACGAGCAAAAATGTGACCATCACTTCTGGATACGATGTTCCACAGCACATCTATAAAATTAAAAGCCATGTCTTCATAAATGGATTTCTTTCTTCTACTGCCCAAAGACAGACATTATCTAGCCAATAAACAATTAAAATACACAGTATTAGCCAACAAGGTAATAGAGCAATCTCAATAAATTCAGCTATTTAGGTCCTTCAGGTAGGCGGACGTTTCTTCAGCAGGACTGCATGAGGTTTCTGGCATTATTCATGGGAGGGGACGTCAGTCGATCATTGCAGGCGAGAAGCAATCCTTCAAGCTACGATGCATGAGAGTGCAGATGTGTGAAGAACCCATTTGGGGATGAGCATCTGTCCGGTCTCCTCCGCTCAGCTCCCTGGACTCAGACCTGCTGTCTCTCAGCCCTAAGCCCGCCGCGCGTCAAGATTCTGCCAGGTGCCCAGCAGGACGCAACTCCAAGGGAGCCCATGGGACCGGCTTGTGGCTTTGCGCGTGTTGTGGAAAAAACCGTGCATCTTGCACAGAGGAGCCACTAGTCTCCCCAGGCGTGTAATGCTGGCCTGGGGGCTTCCTGACCGGGGCCAAGCGAGTGCCTGGTCTCCGCATCCCCGAACGAGGGCATTTCTTACAACAGGTGGGCAACCTGGGTGCTCTCCAGGTATTCTGGACTGCCTGTCCCATAAGCCCTGACAACCGGCTGCACCAGAGGGCCTGCCCGGCTGTGGAGCAGAGCAGAGCAGAGCTCCCCCGCAAGCAAATTATCTGACAAGGAAGCAGGAAGGGCCTACAATGGCAACTTGGAATACTGTTTCAAAACTTGCCCACATTTAAAAGAACGGAAGGAAGGCAGAGCTGTCTTGACCGGCCCATCTACACAGAAGAATCATGTGAAGTTATACATATGCCACCAGTTCAATTTGAATTATTGGATGTATGGGATCTTACACGGCCATGACAAGCTGTGCATGGACTCCCCTGCTACCTGCCAGACTGCTTTCACTCTGGCTACTATGGCCGAGCATGCCTCCTATGCCCTCATCTGCCTCCCAATCCTGCAGGCTCCTGGAGGAGCACCTGTACTGAAGGCCAGAGGGGGCAGAATCACCTCTGCCGCCAGGCTGGGAGGCGGAGCTGCCGAAATGAGAGAGGGTGAAGCCTGGAGTTCGATCCTGCAGCCACGCTTCACAACGCAGAGTGCCCGCCACCCGTGGTGCGGCTTCCTGGGCAGGAGGAGAGGCGCAGGTACGTCCGTGAGCAGGGAGGCCTCTCGCCCGCGCCTTCCAAGGCTGTGGCTGATTGGCACCAGGCCCCTGCCTCTGCAGGAAGGATGCGGCAGCTGGCCTCTCCCCATCTCGGCTGGGTGGCAGACTGCCTTGAAAACTGGCCCCTGGGCTGGCAGGAACAGGTGGTGCTCGCTGGCCTGCTCGCCACTGCTGCTGTGCTTGTGCAGAGTGCCTCCTCCTGGACCGTGTCAAGAAATTTATCCACCCGGGTGCTGAAGAGCTGCCTGTGGCAGATGGAAGCCCAGAGAGAGGCAGGCAGCCCATCGCCACGACTGCGGTTGAGCCGGCGGCTTGGAGGGCACGGCTCCAAGGCTCAGCCCACGGCCGGCCTGCACCGTTTTTCCGGGCCTGCGTGGTGAAGGGCTGACAATGGGGACAGGCCTCCACGAGGCGCCCTTCCCCGGAGCAAGAGAGGCACAGCCGGCACTGTGGGGGCAGCCGACTCCCAGAGCGCACACCCTTCCAAAATGGCACCTTGAGTGCCATTGGGACAAGGAGGAGGAGGAGGAGCAGGCAATGACAGCAAAAAGATCAGGCGTGTTGGGGAGGTGGACGATAAGATGTTGTTATTCTATTTTACATGGACAAGTAAAGGGTTAGGAACAAGAAAAATAAGTAGAGGTAGCAAAGAGAAGCTAGAAACACGAGGGAACGAGTCAAAGATGTTGAGATACTGTAGGGGGAATCCCAAGACAACCAGAGGAGCAGCTGGAAGAGAACTGAGGAAAGGGAGGGAACCCCCCCTAGATATACTGTGGGGCAGGAGGGGAGGGAGTCCCCCTAGAACAAGCCCAGCTTGGACATCTTCCGAACAGGCACCGCACAGTCACAGAGACCACCAGGGCTGTGGTATTTGCTCCTGCAGCTGCTGGATGCTTGGCATTCCATCAGAGTGGAGAGACTGAAGGTGGGGGGCTGATTCAGTGCTAAAGGCCGTACAGGCTGTGGGTCATATTACTGGTGCCCATCCACCATATTTTAATGATGCTTGTGTAAACTAAGTACCTTGAAGTGCTGTATTTTATTCTTTTAAACAGTACTTGCCATGATCCTCTGACTGAGCAACAAACCTATTACTTGCTCACATACCTGCATATTCACAAACCGTTTCTCTCACTGTGCCTCGCATGCTGCCAGCGTAAACAACTTTCCTCGTCTCCCCCGTGAGGACTTTGTCACGGGGGAGAACCTTGTGCGAGGAGCTCCCGGATGCAGAGCCGTGCACACCAAGCTGCGCATTCCTTGCTCCGATGCAGCATCTCACACAGAATGGGGGGGAGACTCTTATCTCCCCCCACCCCCCATGCCAGGGATCCCGAACAAGGTCACTGAGGTGGAGAGGCACTTTCAGGGTCGACGCGGGGGAGGGCCCACACCCCCTCGTTTCCCAGTGATGCCGACAGGTATGACAACTTTGCTCTTTGGAATCAGCTCATACCAGCATCTCGCCATCCTGTGGCAAATGATCCTCAAGGATTTCCTTACTGTACTGACATTCAACTTCGCATGGTCGCATACACTTCCCTAAGCTTCGGCTGCTCACACGCTGACAGACCATGCTGAGACAGACATGCTTAACAGGGACCAAGGCTTCCACCCAAGAGGCAACCCAATGCAACATGCAACCCTTCCAATGAGATGCTACAAGCAACAAGCCAGTATCTCCTAGGTTCTTCTCCACGCCACAAAATCCCCCTATCTTTCACGCTCCTGTTCCCAGCGTGAACATGCCGGCAACCCGACTCGCTAAATGCTTTGCCCTTACACATCACCAAGGACACACGATTCCCAAGAGGCTTTCAATTCGCCTAAACAGACTGCAATGCTGAGCAACTTGCACAATCATTTTCGTAACAAGCCTTCCAGGTAGGCAGCAGGTTACGACTTTCCAGGGCAAGCTTGTAAAATATGCATCTTATGTACAACAGAAGTTGAAGGATAAGGGATTATTCTTCAACTGTGTTTGTCCACAAAAGCACTATTTGCAACCCTGAGGCTGCTTGAGAGACAAGTTCTGCTGAAGACAGCAAATAATTTAGCAATGATCCGACGGTTACTCTGTGCTTCCTCTGCCGCTCCCCCTGGGATGGTCATTATGTGCAAACTAGAGCAACATGTGGTAATAGCCACTAAGTAGCCAATTCCGCATAAATGCATGCAAAAGTCTTACTGAAAGCAATTCATGGCAGCTCCCACCACGCGGCCTCCAAGTTCCACTGCTGAAAATGCTGCCTGGTTTCAGCTCGCCACGGTCGCGGTGGCTCATGCTGGAAACTCTTTGCCCAGCTACCCGCCAGGCACAGCTCGCTGCATCGCCCAAACTGGCCAGCATGGCTTGTTTCGCGGTGCTCAAATGTTTTCTCCGCGGCCTGTCGTGGCTGAAAGGTTGGCTCCCCCAAGCGATCCGTGGCACCCGGGTTCAGGAGACAGGGCAAGCGTGCCAGGCTGGGCAACCAGGCCAACGGCACCCAGCGCGGGCCACACGCTAGGCAAGGCCAGGCAGCTTGTTCTCACAGCTTTTCACATGCAAAGCAGTCCCTGAAGCCACTTCCCTGCTTACTTCATGGGCGCGCGCACAGGCACCACGGTGTTCCAGACCGCGGCCACGCATTGCCCTCATCTCTTTCTAGCCCAAGCTCCTTTACCTATGCCAGCTGAGTGCCACCAGTGACACGAGTGCAAAAAACGTTCTTCTACTGTATTTGGTCACAGGAAAAATGTTTCATAAAATGAATTGGTAATAGAATGGACCAAAGTGTTCTGGCTTCACAAGTGCAACACTTTCTTTAAAAAAAAAACAATAAGGAAATACAAGCTATTGGGTTATCATGTCCTAAAATAATTACAGGTATCCAGATAAAGTTATTTCCAATTACAGTTTTGAAATTATTTGAACATTCAAACACATGAAATGCATTTTGCTGGAATGCAGTATTTTAGCTCAAATATTTTTGACTGTTTGGGAAACCGGATATATTCAGATAGCATGTAACAATGTAATATATTCTCTCTCTCTCTCTCTCTCTCTCTCTCTCTCTCTCTCTCTCTGTGTGTGTGTGTGTGTGTGTGTGTGTGTGTGTGTGTGTGAGAGAGAGAGAGAGAGAGAGAGAGAGAGAGAGAGAGAGAGAGAGAGAGAGAGAGAGACAGACAGACAGACAGACAGACTGACTGAATTCAAGTCACCCTTGTTAAAATCAGGAACATTTCCTCTGTGTGTGTGTGTGTGTGTGAGAGAGAGAGAGAGAGAGAGAGAGAGAGAGAGAGAGAGAGAGACAGAGAGACAGACAGACTGAATTCAAGTCACCCTTGTTAAAATCAGGAGCATTTCCAATTCGGATTTTCCAAGAAAATACTCCGCACTTGCTACCACGCTTAATCCAGGACGGATCACATAGACAGGTTTGTGTGATCTACTCCCTCCCCCTCTCTCCCCCCTTAAACTAGAACTCCAAGATTACTCAGGAGCACCTGGTGCCATATACACATTTAGAATTAAGCGTTCTGATTGAGGATTTTGCTTTGAGTACCAGCAATGCAGCAAGCTCAGGGACTCCCCCCCCACAAAAACAAAAAAAACCCCCCCGCAGCCCTGATTACCCCAAGCTCCCACCACTGAAGAGGGTGGGGAAGGGTGCTGTTTTGCTGTTGCTATTGCTAAACAACCAGAAATTGGAAATTCTCTTCAATCTCCTATCTTTGCTCTGCAAATACTTCCAGAACAACCTCCTCCAGTTCTTAGCTGCTTGCTTGCATCTGCCCCTTTGACTCTTCCTTACTTTGAATTTACATTCAAGGCTGGACATGTGACTTTCATTATACTTACTTAGCAACAACAGTGTTTTATTTAAAGGCAAGCACATTCTCTGATGCATCTCATTATACTTTATACCCACACACACACATTTAGAATTTCCACCATGGCAAAACTTGACTGCAAAGTTTCAACTCTTCATTATCGGTAGACTAACCAACTTGAAAGACAGCAACTCAGCAAGTTCAAAAGCACTGGTGGAATCTATTAAATAGCCTCAAATCCTTAAATATGATTAGGAAATTGAACAATAAAGATTTGCACATATACACTGGACATACAGCATTACCAGAGAGAGAGGTTTGATTTACATCAGATATGAGTTAATATTCATTAACACTCAAAACCAGTTTATTTACCTTTTGAAATAGTTAATGCCGGAGACCACTGTGACCGTAGAATATCAAGACAAATACTGCCATTACTGTTAATATTTGGATGGTAAATTCTTGTTGTAAATGCAACCTGTTAAAAGAAATGTTATCTTGTTTAAATATATTTCCTCCAATAGATAAACACACATCAAAAGTACTGGATATCAACAAGATGCTTGCCTTAGGTGGTTTGAAGGGGTAATCTGTTGGGAAATGAATTGTCAAGAAGAACACTCCACCCTGGTAGGGACTGTCATTCTGAAAAGAAAACACTATTAGAAGGATGCTTACAGTAACGCTTCAACGTATGCTATTTCAGACTGGAGGGTACTTACCGGCCCCATTATTGTCGCTTGCCAATGGAACACTGCAAGGGGAAAGAAAACGAGACACTGACAAAGACGCTTAACAATATGCAAATTAACTTAGCTGCGACTATCGCTACATCTCCCATGCCTTGAATGCAGTGCAGCAAATGCAGATTCCAGGGACTGACATTTTGCTCTTGGCCAGCGTTGCCTAGTGGTTGAAGCGCAGGGCTAGGACTTGGGGGATGGGGATTCTCGTCCCCACTTAGCCATGATGCACACCGGGAGAGCCACTGACTCGCAACTTCGCCTACTTCACAGGGTTGTTGTGAGAGTTCCTGGCACGAAACGGGCAGGATATTGATTTACTAGGAGGTATTCAGTATTCCAGTTAAGGGTCTGGTTCCATACTCAACTTTGTCAAGTTTTATACTATAGGCATAATATGGATCATGCGCAGGGGCCCATGAATGGTCATTATCCTGACAGAGCTCACAGGCACTTGGGTGCCCAATAAACGCAGATGCACGCTCTCCCGACCAGTCCCTTTGCATATTACACCGCTGGTTTTGAAAGATCCAGGATCTGCCTGTTTAGAGCTACCTCGTACTGTGGCAAACATCTGTATTTAGTAAAACAAAAAGCACCTTAATTTTTTGTCCCAATACAACACAAGAACTTGATCTGAAATAATGTGTGGGGGAAATTAAGGATACCTCATACAATTTAAATGTTATATTATGTAGAATTTTTAAATGAAGCCTTATAACATTGTAAATAAAGGTTTGAATTGTTTACATTTAAGAAAAAAGCAAAGGTACTGAAAAACTTGACACGTGATTAATTTTGGCAACCCACAGAATCATGGCACGCTGTGCTGACAACCACTCATCCATCTTAACAAGAGCACAACTCTCTGCCATGATGACTGTTGGAACATTAGCAGCATTTCTCTGAGACGCTGATTTTTCATGCATGTACTTTCTCACACACTTTCCAGACACATACCTGGAAACATTAATTACAACTTTGAAATGGCTAAATGCGCCTATTTGCAGGGGGGCATGCATTCCTTTTTTTAATGAACAACTTATAAAAAGGGAGGCTTCCCAGAGAAAAATAAAGGACTGGAAAAACTGCCTGCCCCATGTAAAAATACGGCCGAGGAAACCAGGCACCTTTCTTTGAGAGACGGACGGCGAGAGGGAAGGACAACCAGAACCAACCTGCAATGCAGGACTGCAATGCTTTAGTCTGTGCTGAGCGGGGGGTTGGACCTGACGGCCTTCCTGGCTCCTCCAGCCTTTTATACATCTAGGATAACTTCGGGAGATGCTGCTGCTGAACCAAAGCAGTATCTCAAAGATGGAAGCTGCACAATTCAAAACGCTCTTGGCGACTGACTCTCAGGTGCAGAGCCCGTGCGTGCGTGCGTGTGCGTGAGATGCACAGAGACCACAAAGAATGGATGGCAGCGCCACAGGCAGCGAGCTGAAGCAAGCTGGCTGTGCCCGAGCTGGTCCACGCCATCGCCACGGTGTCCGTGCGAGCGCTGGGCTCCACCAGCCACGCTCAGAACCGCAAGGTTACCCCTTCTTTCCTCCGGCCGAGAAAGTGATGCTGGGAAGCCTTTTCTGCCGCATGGTACTTACTGTCATCGCCCACGGGCCCTGCTGAACACTGTGCCGGAGGATCCCGCGCCAGATCATTCAACTCCTAAAAATAAACACACGGCCAATTCAGAACAGGCTCGCTACCTCCCCACAAGAGCCATGCAAAGTCAACTGCAGTTATTGCTAATTTTACCAAAATGCAAACGACGTGTTCACAGAAGAACCGAGAAAATCTTCAGAGCAATTTGCTCCCATTACAGTGATGTAGGTTCGTTTAAACAACAAGAAAACACTTCAGTTTGGGCAGTGTATACTTGTGGCAACGAAAATAAAGTTGGTTGGCCTCACATCAACACCTAATCCCATAATTCGTTGCACTATTGGCTTCTGATGGGCAGTTCTACCTCATTTCCAGCATTTCACATATAAAAGCGTCACAATCAAATATGCAGCAAATGCCTTGGCTGAACCACATTCACTTTACTCAGTAAGAGTAGTTTAGATAACTAGTTTTATTCTCCATCTCAGTCATTTGCCCATTTGAAAGATATTGTTTTCCCCGGGGGCTAAAGGGCATTATAAAGAAACAATTTAGAAATTCATGGGTTATACTTCCATCGTAATGGAGTGCCCCTAATGTTAGGACATGGGCAAAGCAATCCAATGGCCTGCACCTGGAATTTTCATGTTGTGTTGAACCTAAACAGGATGACTTAACATGGGTTAACTCAACTACACAAGTACTGGAAAGAGGAGCAAACACTGCGTGCAAATCTTACCAAGCAGCTAACAGGCAGCCCTGTTTCCAGCTGCCCCAAAAATACCCAATCAGCACTTGGGATGAGTGGCAAAGGCTTTCCCTTACTCCACATCACAAACTATTTTTGGCTTGCCATGAAGAGACTTTGCTATCTCACTGGGAGGCAACAATGAGGTGCTGGTACTGGCATTTTAACAAGGCTTTTTTTTAAAATGTTACCTGGGACACAGTTTATGCAATGGATAACTTCTCAGTTTATCCCTTCAGTTTATGTTAAGCTTAGCAGGTACCGACATTCACCCTCCCCCATTCATGGTTTGAAGGACAGAAACTGTGGTGAGTGTCACCAACTCCTGAAAAGATGCTTCTTCACACAGGCCTTCCCAGACCCACATGGACTGCCTCAGCGCTTGGCCTTGCTGTCACTCCTGCTGCATGTTTTTAAGGGTTTCTTGGTGTGGTTTTGTATTGCTTCATATTTTATTATGCATTCGTTAATGTGAACGCCTTAGGAATTTTTTAAATATCAAGCGGCATAAAAATAATCATAAATGGATTAACTGGAAGAAAACTGCATACAAGAAACACCAATAGAATATGAATGGTCCTGCTAGATCAGACTTTATACTCCTGACTCAGAGCTGCACAGAACATTACCAAAGCACCTTGAATCTTTAAGGAATCCCTGCGGGAACACTCGCCCACTCAACTTCAATTTCTGGGCTTGGACTCCGCCTCCCATTTAAAAGGCTTGAATGACCTGGACATCCCTCCATAAGTCAGGAAGGCATCCACATTGCAGACTTTCTTTTTACTTCACTTTTTTTTTTACAGCCATGTTTCAGCATAAGATGGTTCAAATTTTGTGGAAACCAATGTAGCATATAGTAAAGTGGCTGTCATCAGCTGGATGAACACCCCTGCCTTAGCCTCTTACCTGCCCTAAAGGGAAGAGAGAAAATGAAATCCAGACACATGGAAGAAGGCATATTCCATTCTATAAATACTATCCTAATCTATCATCATCATCATCATCTCCACATGCCTACTATATCCAATTGGCTTAGAAAGGCGAGAAAAACAGTTCAGGATGGTCCCTTGCAGCTTGATGGTCCCTTGCTCTATCCAGAGTCATTCAAAACAGAGGTAAGCAGGTCACCCTCAAGCGGCCCAGGCCAAATCAGTCCTAGCAGCAAAACCCAGCTCCAGTATAAATCTGCACAAGCAGGTGCGGACTGTCCAAGAACATGCCTGCCAGGTGCAACAGGAAACTGGATCAAGCCCAGAGGCACCAACTGCTCCTGCCCCTTAAGCCACAACTCTGCGCCTGGCTCTGACTGGCAGGACTCAGGGGTTCACTTTATTCATTTAACAACATGTTTCATCCCACTCTTCTGCTCCCCACAAAGCAGATTCTCAAAGCAGCTTACAGAACATAGAAACAATTCAATGATGACACGTATTAGGTTTTTTTTTAAGAAAAATATTCACAAAAACAATGCTGATAGTCAATAGATTAAATTTACCATCTCTTCTGCTGCTTTTACAAGAAGTGAGAGAAACTGCAGTGACCACAACAGTCAAGTGCTTCAAAGCGGCACAATAAAAAGCAGGGAAGCACCAATATATCCCCTTTCTCAACTAGCTGGAAACTGGAGGCAGTGTTGAAATGAGGGGTGGGCACTGAGAAGTCTCAGTTCCACACTTCACACTGACAGGATTACATTCCTAAGTGGGAGATATTGTCCCCCCCCCCCAATTTCCAGTGCACCTTTGCTGCTCCCCTCCCCTGCTTACTGGCGCTTCTGAACTGGTCCCTGTGCATACATTAGCTAAAAGGCCACCTGGCCAATTTCCACACACCTCACTCACTCCCATTCCCCTGTTCCCTTTGACAGCTGAAACGTACAAAGACCAGGCAAGTTAGAAATGTATTTCCAGAATGTTCTGAGCCGAAACGGTTTTTTAAAGGGTTGGGAACCTGTGATGGCTGCTCCTAAATGCCGCCTGGACAACAGCAAAGGGCTGTTGCTGATGAGGCAGCGCAAAGGGCAGCAGGAACTGCACAACCCACAATGAAGTTGCTCTCCTGTCTTCAGGTGGCGTGACAACCCACAGAGGTTCAAGAGTGATCAGAACAAGCTTCAGTTGTCGGGGTAGCTTGTTGCTGAAGAATAAACCACTCTGTAGAAGGCAGTCTGGGTTCAGATGATGCAGCAGCCCATCATGGTTAGTAATCCACAATAGGTTGTCATTCCACGCAACCCTGTTTAAAAATTACCATCACATCAGAAGTTAGAAGCCACCTGTCTAGACAATTTCAGTTATTTGCAAGGTTTATGCAAATAACTCTACTGCAAAGGTAGCTGAAGTGCAATTTTGCAGGGCTAGAGTGAGTCAATCAAGTAGTATTAATAGAGCTTAAGAGGTATGTTGAAAAAAATTCAAAGCTCAATTTGGTCTTTTTTTTATTGAAACATCTGAAATATAACCTTTATTGAAACATGTAAGATAGGGCAACTCAGTGCCGCTCATCTCCCTTACAAAAGGTATACTTCAAGATAAGGATGAAGGCACAGAAATTTATCATAGACTTCTTGGCAAGCCCGAAGAGCTGTGCGTTCCCATTTTAGAACCCACAACTACAATTCCCATTTTAGAGTTGCGCAGCATTCCACCTTAGCTGCACCTGGAAATCAGCTAAGAGGCCAGATCCAGGACACAGCACAACCACGGCTCGGCTGCACAGGCCATCGAGATGCCCATCACGCCACTGAAGTCCCCCAGACCATGCTGGCAGGGTGTTGTGCCAGTGCTGCGCTGCACGCAGGGGAATCAGGCTCAGAACCAGGGCAGAGTGCCTGAGTCCTCAGCCCCTTCACTTTCATGGCACGTGCTTGGGAACCAGTGCGAACGAGCCTGGCAGCTGCGGCACCTAACGGCCCACCTTCCACCCCGGCCACAGCAGGAGGGCGGAAAACGACCCACGAAAGCCTGTTTGGAAAGCGGCGCTCCCCGAGCTGCCTTGTCCCCGGAAGGCACACCGGATCGCACTGCCCAGTGTCCAACTTTATTTGCATTGCTGTTCACACGTTGTGAGAACTTTTAATGGAGCAACGGTTCTTTTCTACCTGCATGTGTGGCAGACGACCCAAACCTGGCAGGGGGGAGACTGGGGTTGACAAGCCATTCGTGAACTCTGCGACGCGTTGTGGGTTTCAGGGTGGCTTGTAACCACCCCCTCCACCCACCCTTGCAGAGGCAGGCATCCCAACAACCCACAGCTCCTAAGGGCCATCAAGGGTATCCGCTCACACGCACACACGTGGTGCATAACCCAGCCTCACATTCTGTGAAACAAAACTCTAAGCTTATGAATAGGAATTCAGTATGTTCTAATTTTAAATAATTAAAAGTTAAAACCACCCAGCCATCTCTGGCAGGCTGGGCCACCTCGACCGCTCACGCCCAGCAAAGGTAATTCTGTGGCTTGTGGCTGGCATGCGGGTTTGTGCAAATTTGGTCACAGAAACACAAGTTCATTTCTAATGGAACCCTTTGGGGAGGGCATAAGATTACCTGGGGTGTGATCACCTGTACCTGCCTGCATGCAACTTCACCTGCAAACCTGCCCTGCCCTTACAGACACGGCCTGTAAACTGCATGCTGGCACCAGCCATTTTGACCATGTACCTCACCCAGAGTTATCTCAAACTGTGTATCAAATAACCACCCCAAAATACCACGACTGACTGCTGCATTCCATATGAATCATACTAATGCAAGCAACTATGAAGACAATCTTCCAGTCAAGATGGACGGATTTACAATCAAGGCCACCTAAAGACCCAAGAAAAAAGACGCCGTTAATTTCTTATTCAAGTAGGAGTTTCCACTTTGCAATTTAGCATTTCCTTAACAATACCTACTATTTAATTTCTCTAAGAATTAACTATCCATTTTCAGCAAAGGGCATACTTAGGAGTGTAATCCAACCTGGATTTTCATTTCGCTCTCGTTAGATAAACGCAATGACACTAAGATCACTGAAACTGACACCAAATCTACCGTCCTGCACACATAGAAGGAAGTTCCACCAAAGTCAGTGGTACACGCTTCCAAACCAACATGATTAGGGCTAGTCTGCGACTGCCATGAAGCAAACAAAAATAGCGACTAGGCAAAACACGGTTTCAGCATGAGAGAAAACTTCCTTCTATTTGACTGCTTCCTTTCAAGCTGGCTTGCTTCA